CTCTGTGTAGCCCTGGCTGTCCTGGAACTCACTCTGTAGACCAGGCTTGCCTCGAACTCAGAAATCTGCCTGCCTCTGCCTCCCAAGTGCTTGGATTAAAGACATGAGCCAGCATTGCCCGGCTGAAGATACAATTTCTATCACCCGTGAACTTTTCCCAAATTAATCCAGAGAGCATCCAATCCTTCCATACAGACTTCAGGTGACAGCTGATGTGTGGGTCCTCTGTGAGAACAGCAAGTGCTCTTAACCACTGGGCTACCTCTCACTCCCCACTAGATTATTCTATAACTTGCCAATTATGACAGAACTATAGACGCTGCAAACAGACCTCCAGTCAGTCTCCAACCCAAGTATTAATTATCTCACGGGCTGGAAGAGATGGCTCAGCAGTTAAGAGCACTGACTGCTCTTCCAGAGGTCCAGAGTTCAATTCCCAGCAACCACATGTTGGCTCACAACCATCTGTAATGGGATCTGATGCCCTCTTCTGGTGTGTCTGAAGACAGCTACAGAATATTCATATACATAAAATAAATCTTAAAAAAAAAAAAGAATTACTTCACTTGGGTTTGTGAGACGGCTAAATGGCTCAGTTGTTGATCACCTCACTGGAGGGCTTGTGAGACAGCTCAGTGGTGAGTATATACTGCTCTTCCAAGTGTGGGTTCCAACACACCACACCTAATCTACATAAAACAAAATCTTTTTTTTTTTTTTAAAAACAAATTATCTCGCCAGAGCCTTTAATTTGCAAAACTTTATTTGTGGACAGTTGGGCAAAGATCACACAGGATCTAATCCTGCTCTCAGCGAAACTATGATTTTTTTATTAACAAGGCCAGGCATCCTGTGTTATTTTTACACTTTTACAACTGAACATTCAGTTTTTAATACTAAATGTCAAACACATCTGAATTACATCTTTCCCACAGTGCTTCATGATATTTAAATAAAGACTTCTAAATTCAATGCATGAAACTGACAGTGACATTTGTAATTATTTCAGGGGTACTGGGAGTGGGCTCTCATCGTTTTCTTGAAAGGAACTTGGCACAAAAGGCAGCAGAGAGGTCTCTGTATGGGGTGTCTGAGTCAGACTTGCTGGGTGGTATCCGGCACAACTGGCGGAATGCAGGGGAGCGCAGCAGCAGGTTCTGTGAGAGGCCCATGAGGCTGGAGCACAGCCAGTAGAGAACAAGCGCCTGGAGAGAACACATAACGGTCAGCACCTGTTCCTGGATGGCCAAGGTTTGCAGTCAGTAAAAAAACACCAGCATTCTGACCAAGCTACCTGACAGCATGAGGACTCCACCAAGCACGAAAGCTTGAGCACACCAAGAGCAGACTGGTGACAGAGAGCAGGAAAGCACCCTTCGTTGACTACTAAGACTTTTTCCCAGCACAGGTACTGACAAGCTGATTCTGCAAGAGAATGGTAGGAGCCTGGGGGCGTGGCTACTTCCCTTGGCAATCGTACTGGACCTTACTTTCCCCATTACTCATTGGTCTCCCATGATTCCCCAGCAACTCTCTGTCATCAGGATGCATTTCTTTAGTTCTTAGAGACAGAATTATCAACTTTCTTTTGTGATACAACCCAGGCTGGCACTTCAGACCAAGCCCTGAAGCCTTTCTATACACACATGTGTTTCCTACACATACATGGGTTTCGAGCTTTGCTTGAGCATCAGAAAGCAGTCTTGTCTCAGAAGTAAAATTATGTGGCTGGTGAGCCCTGTCTGGATGAAGCTCTCCAAGTCTGAGAGTCCTGTTCTCTAACCTTTGGTTTGTATTGGTCATTTCTCTTTCTTCAGTTTCCTACCTATAAAATGGGACAGCAACTGCTCCCACCTTAGAGGACTGTTCTGAGAACATTAGCACACAATGGCAAGCACCACCCACACCACCCACACCACCCACAGGGAGACCTCTAGGGCAGAACATTAACACAGCAGTTACAATCAGTACCTGAGGTTTCTGGAAAAGGGAAGGCCTGAGGAGCAGCGTCAGCTGTTTACCTTCCCTCCCCTCCCATGCTCAGGCTCCTCATTATTCAAACGGGACACTGTAACAGGCCTGCCTCACGGTACCACTGGGAGAATACGACGGAATTTGCAAGATACATTAATAAGCGTGCCTACAAATGGCGAGGTGGTAAAGGTGGCACCAACCCAGATGATATGAATGTAACTCCTGGAACTCTCACGGGGAAGCAGAGAACAGACTGGAGGAGGCTGTCCTGTGACACCACACATGTACCCTGTCACATTCTGAGTAGCTGGGACACTGGCTGGACATCACCTTCAGCTCACACAGGAATTGGCAAGCTTTTTGTGCACCATGTTTTTCAATGCATCCAGATGGAACCATAGCTGCTATCTACATAACTCTTTTTGTTGCTAAGAAACAAAACTCTAATTCTGCTGGGTATAGGGCATCTAAAAAAACCACTATACATACTTTCTAGGCTCTTAAATTTGATGTGACCAAGTAAGAAAGACATAAGGACTTATCTGTGGTGGGACAACTAGCAATGCTCCTCAGAATGACTATGTGTACCTGAAACACCCTCTGCCATCTGCAACCTAACTGGTTCCTGCAGCCACCATGACCACTGTGGCCAGGGCAAGTGTCAGAGGTGGTGTGTGATGGATCAGGAAGCAGAGGCAAGCCTCTTGCTGTCTTTGTGGAGCTGCCACATCATCTCTGAACTGGACCACTCTGGACCCCGGGGTCAGAGTTAAGCATGGGTTCCTAAGACACAGTTTCACATCTGTTATAAACTCTGAGCTCCATCCTTGACACACCCTGTTCTTGCTTCATCCGGGGTTTCTCCTGCTCTGGGGTTACACAGAATCTTACAGCAACACTCCACTATGGGAAAGTACTGTGACACCACCATTTCAGGTCTGCTTCAGATATGTGAAAGCTTATTTTGCACAGGTAACAGATATTCACCCAAGTACCAACTTAATATACATTTTTACACCAACAGCACATTGCTGTGAGTCCTCAAGAACGGTGAGAAGTTCCTACCTGCTCATCTAACCTTAACTACCAGCAACTGAATTCCAATTACTGGCTTCATGTTGGCTCTGAGTAAAGATGAAAACGAACCCTGACATAGCTTTTGACAACTTCTAAAGTACCTTTGGAAACTATGTAAAAGACTGAAGTAATGTAACAACAAAAATTATTCTTCTAGTTCTTTCAAAACCTTGCTCGGGTCTCAACAGGGACAAGTGAACAAAGCCACAACAATGCACAAGGTTAAGTATCAGGAATCCATACCAACTTTGATGTTTTTCTAAGCGCTACAGTCCGTGGTGCAGTCTAGATGGAAGTTGTTCAATGTATTAGCTAGTCGAGTAGGTAACTACCTGACTATGGAGGTGTTCTGTCAGACTAAAATAGAGAGAGGCAAGGAGGGAGTGACAGGAGAGTTGGACACATCCACAAAAGGTGAGTCAGTCCAGGCAGTGCTCAGTGTCAGCTGTTCAACAGCAAGGGTCCCGTGGGTAAAAGGAAGCCCCAAAGCAGCAGGCCGGCACAGGCCGGCACAGGCTGTGGAAGCTCCTCATGGCCCATGCAATGCTATGCTACTCACCGAGGGTACTGTTGCAGCAACTGGGATCATCAACACGGAGACAGCACGGACAAAATTCGTAACATACACTTGAAAGCGAGATGTTCCGATTTTTTGTAGAGCGAAAATCTGAAGTAGAACACACTCACCATGACTCAAGTACACACTGAATCAGGTAAGTTTTTAACCACATGCTGAAGCCCAGGCTTTTAGGTGCTTCTGTCATCCCAGCATTGGTAAACTGAATCAGCAACTCAAGGTCATCCTTGGCTTATGGACTTGTGAGACCTGAGACATGCTAGTGTCCTCTGACAGGGTTCCACTGTACAGCTGACTGGCCTGGAACTCACTCAGTAGACTAGGGCAGCCTCAAACACTGCCTCAGTGGGGATCACAGGTGTGTACCGCCCCACTCTGTTAAAAGCTAGTTTGAGACCAGCCTCTACAAGTACCTTTAAGGGCTGGCACTGTGGTTCAATGGCACAGTACTTGGCCTAGTGTGTACGTCATGGCCTCCACCTCTAGCCCTTGAACACAACAATTTCAATACTAACAAACTTACATAACTAACTGTCTATCTCCAAGGCGGGGAACCACAGTTAAGCTTCTGTGCCTGTGGAGCAGGGGGTCTGTGACTGCAGAGGCAAGCCTGCTGCTGCTGCTGTTGACTTTGGGAGACAGCCTCTCACGATGTAGGGATTCTCTTGGCTCAATTTCCAAGTGATGAGGTTATAGATTGGTGTCCTCACATCTGGCAGTCCTGTATTCCCAGAGATTCCTAATCCTACACAAGTTTTAAGTCTTATGCACCACTTTCCCTCCCTTAAAATGAAATAACGACAGTGTAGTTCTCACAGGGTTGGTCTGAATTAGGTAATTCCTGTCAACTGTTCAGACGCTGGCACGCAGCACTGCTGAGTTAGTGCTCTTCGTCGGCACTGACAGTAATTCATTTCTGCCTCCGTTCACCACTGCCTTCTTCCTACCAAGCATTTCACTGAACACAAACCAGAGCCACACTAAAGAACATTTATACTGCACATGACATCTTTTCCCAACAAAAATTCACTGATGACTTCAGATTTTTTCCTTAAAAACAAACAACGAAAACGTGTTTGTGTGTTTTCCCTATACGTCTGTGTACCACATGTGTGCCTGGTGCCATGGAGTTCAGAAGCACTATGAGTAATGGAAGAGGTGACTGACAAATCCTGTGGTTTTCATGTATGTGTTTCTCTACTTTATCCCAGCAAGGTGCTATGCATGGAGTTGGACAGAAGGTAAACTCTGTTGTGAGCAGCCATGTGGGTGTAGGGAACTGAGCTCAGAACTTGTGCAAGAGCAGCCAGTGTTCACTACCAAGCTATTTCTCTAGCACCATCTTTTCTTTTTTCAGCAGGGATACACATGTCCTTGGGTGCCGCATCCTGCATTGTCACCTGGAAGGGACAGAGCGACCCCAACTCGAGCCACTGACCTCCACTATCAGTAAGTTGACAACACCGACAGAGACGGGCAGAATCCAGGTGGAGTCCACTGCAGTGAGGTCAGGAAACCACAGCGACCCGCCAGCAGCTAACTGTTCCTGAACAGAAATGCCTGCTGGAACAGTTGATAGACAAAACAGGAACCCTCAGAACAGCTGAGAGGTGTCAGGAACATGCACAGAAGAGCAGCCCAACGATCTCAGGGTGCCTCACTCAAACATCTGCATTCTTCTTACTCAAGCTATGTATAGTCAATATTTTTGTTTTGTTTCACTTTCTCAAGTTTTTGTTCTCAACAGAGACTGCGGGTTTACACTTAAGACTCTGAATTCTGTAAGGAAGACAGCAAATGGGAGTTATAAAAACTAGGATTGCTTTTCTTGTTTTGTTTTGTTTTTTGAGACAGGGTTTCTCTGTGTAGCCCTGGCTGTCCTGGAACTCACTCT